CTTCCCCCCCCCCCCCCCTCCTTCCTGCTTTTAAAAGCTAAAAATAAAACGCCTTGAGGCCCCTTTTCCCTCCGTCTTTTCTCTTGAGACATTTGTTTCTTGAGGATTCGCTGCCTCCGCTGCGTTTTCTCCTCTTGGCTTCGATAAACGCTCGTTTTTACGCCCGGCTCTCCTGGCACAGGGGATCGAATCCTGCGGGATGCTGAGCCCCTGGCCGCCGGCATGGAGCCCTTCGGGGTGGATCTCTGCTTCCCTTTGGGCTGGTGGAGGATTTGGGATCTTTTAGGCTCCAGCAGGCAGGATGGGGAGACCAGTGAAAGCCTCCAGGGAGGAGGAGGAGGAGGAGGAAGGTCCCCGTTCGTCCCCTTGCCGAGGGACGCGGCTGCCGTGGAAGTTTTTTTATTTTTAGCCCAGCACCAGCCGGAGCCTGGGAGGCTGTGGAGGAAATAAAAGCAGGACCCAACGGGAGGCGAGGGGAAAAACCCAGACCCTGGCTGGGCTGGGACGGGGATCACACGCGGACTGGTGGGCGCAGGGGTCCCCGGTGCGGGAGACTTGCGTGGGTGCTGCGATCTTGCCTGGGGGGTGCTGCGGTGGGGGTCGGGGCTGTGCTTCGAGGGAACACGGAGGGGGGGGAGATGCTGGGGTGGCAGCGAGCCGTGTCACGCAGAGCTCCGGACTCACCGGAGGGAAAGGACGGGACAGGATTCGTCTCGCCTCTCTTCTTCCTGCAAAACCGCTCCCAAATTCAGCCCCGGCCGCTGAGCTCCGAGCTCCCGTCCCTGCTCCTCCCTGGCAGAACCCAGAGCTGAGCACAGGAGGCTTTTAAGGAAAAGGGATTTGTCCTCCCGGGGCTTAGCACGGGGCGTTCAGCGCGTTTCGCCCCGCGCCCTGGATCCCTCCGGTCCCCGGGGAGGGCGAATCTGTCGCTACTGCGGAGCCACGAGAGAAACCATCCGGCCTCAGCGTTTTCCCCTCTGTATTTCACTTCTAAACGGTACCGGTGTCCCCTAAGGAGCCGAAAGCTTCGGGTTGTGCCTGGTGCTGCGCGTGCCACCGTCCCAAAGAGCCACTGTCCCCCCTCCCCCCCCCAGGTTGTACCCAAATCTCTGCAGCCGATGCGGTGAGCAAAGAGCACCGAAACGCCAAGGGCGAGCTCATCCCGCAGATAACGCGGTGGTTGACCCGATCAAGGGCAGCAGGATTAAACCCTGCCGGGGCGGCCACGCCAGCTGCAAGGGTGAGCCGTTTCCAGATGGGAAAACTCAACTTCAGATGTTGCTTGCAAGGAGCCGAGGAGGCTCCAGCTCCACTCCCAGATGGCATTTTTGTCCCGTGAGTCACTGGCATGAAAAGGAGTGGGTTGCACGGGAAGTACCCGCTGGCGTGGGGCCGCGGCGGCCGGCTCCGGCAAGAACGGGACCGCGGTTCCCCGCAAAAGGGGGCCAACGGGCTACGGCAGGGCCTCGCACGACGGGAATCTCTCGGGACAACTTCTCCGTGCTGGCTCAGGTCTGAAAGAAATGCAGGAAAATCTGCTGGCGGCCAAGCGAGGAGCTCCCCACGTCCGTGCGGGGCTGGGTCCCTGCTCGTCCCGGTTGCCGTCGAACCGCTTGCTCAGCATCTTGCTGCCGACATTCCCCGTCCTGCCCCAGGGCCAGATCCTGCAGCCGGGGCAGGCCGCG